ATTGATCACTCGACTCCTTAACATGATGTAGAGCATGGCTTTTGCATAATTTAGTTCGGGTTTACAAGGTTCTTACAAGGGAATTTATGGGAAAGTACCTAAGTTATGGGAAAGTTGACAGAAAAATGGATATCCTTTTTTTACAGAAGAGTTTAGTGTCAGAAATATGAAAATATTCCTAATATAACATATTGTACCATTTTTAGTTGCATCTGTCATTAGTAAAATAAAATGGTTTGCATTTAGCTTTTTTTTTAGATGATAAATTAAAAAACAAGTAGATGAAATCATAAATACTATAATCTTTTATATAAACCAACCTTTTTTTTTTTTAATTTTTGCTTTGAAAACAAATCCCGTTATGAAAAGTAAACTATTTCCAAAACAATCCAATTATTCAAAATTCTGCCACAAATCCCTAAAAATCAATCAGCTAAGTAGGTCATAAAACCCATTATGAGGCAAAGACCTTTCACCCGCTTTCTCCTGCATCGACCAGCACATTGACCCAGAAAAAGCGATCCGATCTGATCGGAGGATTATGCAAACATTTGCGGACAACTGTCATTAGTCAATGGTCCCATATTTGAACTCTGACCACAGAGCAGCGTTAAGTGGACAAAATGCCAGCAGAAAATGCGGAAAAATCACGACGATTTCTCAGGGAAAACCGCAAGTTGAGACAACCCCTAGAAAGGAGAAAGCAGCATCTGAGAGTGAAATAGGGAAAGGTGAAAACTCGATACCTAGACGGACCCCTGCAAGAAGGTCTATCGAACTAAGGAACTACGGAACCCGAGGGAAGAATTTCGCAAGTCGCTTACCCAAAAATGGCATAAACAATCTCATTGTGCGCACTCGAACCAAATGATGTGTGAGATATCAATTGTCAAATCGACAATGGAAAGTGACAGATCGGTATCTGTAACGTTCGTAATAAAATTACAGAGTTTATTGATTTGTCCTGACACTTTGGCAGAGCCACGGAGTCTGGGATGCGAAAGGAGGAAAGGAACCTCACGAATCTGGGACAGATTGATGACTGCTCTCGCATTATCAATGGGAGTGTCCTTCCGCCACTCCCCTCGTCCTTTACCCCTTGCTGAGGCTCCTGCTCCTGCTTCTGATGTCCTATAAAAATTATAAGCAATTACATATAAAGAATTTCCGTTGGCTCGTCGTAAAGTAGGCAACTTTATGGGCCCAGTAAATATTTTGATGGCCGAAAATTCGCCAAAAAAAAATTAATTCCCTTCATCAACTTTTCGCTGACTTTGGAATATTTCTTAATGCTCACATTTTGACTCGTCTCGACTGACAAATGAATCCAAACTTCCTGCTGACCACGCCCAAATGCTGTTCATGCCACTCACTTTCCGTTTTCAGAAAAAGTCTATTAATGACATGAGTTGCACTTCTTTTAAAACTCTTCCATGTTTGTACTAATTATTATTAATGCGTTTTCAAACCAAAATCAAAAAGGGAAACTCTCAATGATTTGTGCATTTGTGGGCTGGTCGACAAAATACGGGACAGTAGGTTATGGGAACAAACTGTTTTGGGATAAGATGACAATTTCAATTCGGGTTATATCAAATATTTCCTATATTACATTGTTATTAACAATGTTTCTTAAATGTTGCTTCAGATCTTAGGATGTCTTTTGAATAATGTTTTAAGCTCGTATTTTCTTCTTTTTTTCTTGATGAACTTCTTTTGTGCATAAATATAATTAGCATGTTCTTCGACAATGACTTTCGGCAACTACCACATCACACATTGTCAAGTCAAGCTCTCGAGGAAATCCGTTTAATTTCCCCCAAATCCCAAGAGACAGCGACAAATTCTCTTGCCCGAAAACAGTGCACAGAAAAACAATGTTTGATTATTTCGCTAAAGAGAAATAAGGTCAAAACTATTATCGCAGTATTTTAAGTTTCTATATATAAACAAAGTTTTTGGTTTTTCCAAGAAATTTAAGTTTTAAAAATGATTTTCCAACAAATAGTGAAATAATTTTATCAAAATTAATTATTTCTGGAGTATTCTCTTTTGCGACATGATTTTTCAGTTTTTTACGTTTCTATTAGACACAGTATTTGTCTTTCAGTTTTCTAAAGAAGAAAAAACAAGTTTTAAAAATGATTTCCCAATAAAATATGATTGGTTAATGAAATTTGTAAAATAAATTTTCTTTTCTGGAGTAAAATATTTTGATAAGTGATTTTTTTAGACTCTCTGTAATAAACTTATTTGACTTGCTGATTACAGATTATTACATTTTATAAATTATATGTATATCGTGCCGATCTCGTATGTGTACAATATTTAATTTGCTTCTTTTTTTCAGTGCACTGCCTCTTTGAGCTGATTTGGAGGGAGCCCTTGTTCCGACTTGTGTGAAAGTGAAATCGACTCAATTGCGGGCGTGTGCTGTTAGTCTTGCGGTTGCCAGCGACTCCTGCTCCTGGTTTTTTGGTCCTGTGCCCGCACAATTGGTTCAGGTACAAAGTACAAAGTCAGAGATTGCCAAAAGGTGTTGGTAGATGCTTCTTATCCGCAGCATTGTGTTGGCCCGTGTTGGCCCGAGTTGGCCCGCTTGTGTATGCACAGTTGTCACCCGCGTCCTACAGGTGAAATGGATCCTCTCGAGGGCGCAGATGGAGATGGAGATGGAGATGGAGGAGCTCGTGCCTGGGTGTCTCCTTTGTTCGGCCGCATAATGGAAGCAAAACATTCTGAAATATGAATTGAATCTCCTCGAGTGCATTTAATATACATTACGCCCTCGTCCTTCTTCCCTTTGCACCTTGCTAATATCCTGGCGCTTCTTCGCCGACAAAGTTGCGAGTAGTTTGCCATCTTCCGCTGTTTGCCGAAAAACGCTCAGGTATGCGGGCCATACAATATCCGCTGAAACGTTTAAGTGAGATTAACAAGTGATGACTGATACCGACATCGGCACAAGCAGGATTCCACTTCTGCCCTCGGGGTTGTGTGCTTTCTATTAAATTAAAAGTGGCAAAGGAAAAACGGAGGAGCAACTCGGTGCCTCTCGCATAAAGTGCAAGCTTTATTGGGCGACTCGATTTTCGGCTTAAAGAACATTTTTTATCGAACGACGAATGATTTTGAAATTATTTATATTTAATAATTTCGAATTTTTTGCTTGAAATTTATTAATTACAAAATGAAATATAGTGCTGATTATGAAAATATATATTCCGATTGTTTTGTTTGAGTTGTTAAATAGTTTTATTTACTTTCTGATGTCATTGTCATTATTATTGATACTTTATTTAATATATTTATTGTTCTTGGAAATTGAGCAGTGATTTCCTAAGGCGATAAGCAGTGCTATTAAATCGTAGTCAACAAACAGAGAAGTGCACTCAGTCACTTTCGATCTGAGCTTGAATCATGAACGGTTCTCTCGCGATTTTTACCCTGTCCTGGGCTTTCATCTGCCTATTTTCTGCATCCCAAGCTGGACCTAAAAACCCCGAGGAGCTGAGAGTATACGAACAGCTGAAACAACTGGATTGCGGAGTCCTGACAAATATAATTCCCAGCCAAAGACTTCGCCGAAGAATCACCGGTGGCAGGAAATCTTTCTTGATGTCTCAGCCTTGGATGGCGTTCATCTATATACCAAGTCATTTGGAGCTGTGTCGCTGTGGAGGCGCCCTTATCTCAGAACGTATGTACACCCAGAGAAAAACCCCATAGTAAAATTAAACATTAACATATTTGAATGTAACATTGTTTGATTTTGTGATTTTTTCTTTATTATTTCATTTCTTTTAATTCAGGCTTCATTTTAACTGCTGCGCATTGCTTTAAATTGTGCCCCATGTCCAGTGAGTAAGTATGATTATTTCGATTCTTTCAGAGTATTTCCTAGCAATATATAATGATCAGATTAAGAGTGCGACTGGGAGAGCTCGACCTAAATTCATCATCTGACTGCACGACCTACGATTATAAACCAATTTGTGCACCACCCGTGGAGGAATATACCATAGAAAAGTGGACTATTCACGAGGATTTCGATGCCTTTTCTAGTTGGAATGACATGGCCCTCATAAGACTGGACCGGAAAGTGGTATTCAAAGGTAAGAAATGCTTATTAAAAAATAAAAAAAGTTTTGTTTTCCTCAGAATTGAAAAACACTGCTTTTACAGACCACATTCGACCAATTTGTCTGCCCCTAAGCGACGATCTCCTGGCGTTTACCAAATTGATAGGAAAACCGTACATTGCGGTGGGCTGGGGAAAAATGGAGGATCGCCGCTTCGCCAACAGCACCATGGAAGTCTATATTAACACGAAGAATTGCTCGGGCGGCAGAGACTCTTCCTTTCTGTGCGCCGATGGATACTATGTGGATACTTGCACCGGCGATTCGGGTGGTCCGCTCACCTGGTCAACCATGTACTTTGGCACCGTGCGAACGGTTCTATTCGGAGTGGTCAGCACGGGGGCCAGTGACTGTGGAACTGGTCAGAACGCCTACTACATGGATGTGCCCACCTTTGTGCCCTGGATACTCGCCAAGCTGGCGGAGTTCTCCAACTTGTTGGATGGTTCTGAGAACATTTAAGCTGCTTCTCGAACCACACTTTATTACTGTATAAAGTTCTTCACTGTTGGCTTGTGGAAAATCCTTTTTTTAATTCCTGGCGAAATATACACAACAATGTTTTTAATTATGTTTTATTTAAAAAACTATAGGCATTATCATTTAGTCATTAAAATATAATGCACAAAATCGAACTTTTTGTATATATATTTTATATATTTAGTTGGATTTTTTATAGCGTGATAAGCAAAATTTGTGATTATAACCTACTAATTTTTACTAATACTTATGGTTGTGCAAATAAAGGTGGGGTTAAAAGAATTTTTTTGAAATTTTGCGATATATGTTGAAAACATTACAAGCTTTTAAATAATTGTTACTCCAAATTTAAAAATTTATAGAGTGAAAAACCTAGTAGCTTATTATCTAACAGTCTTTGAGATCGACATACCTATTTCCAGCAGAAACTTGTGAAAAATAAACAAAAAACGGAATCCTTCTGACATTATTTTATCATCAGTTTTCGGAAAAGCATTATAATTCCAAGGAAGAAACAAGATGTCGTTGCCTGATATGGGAGGAATCGGTGAAGGTCACGCGGACGCAGTGGTTGATCTGGCCTTCAGCAGGGACTTGGGATCGGGATTCGTCATGGCCTCGGCGGGACTCGATGGGCAGGTGATGCTGCGAAATGGCTACACAGCCTCCTGGATTGGATCGCTGAGAAGGCAGGGGATGAGCGTGTGGAGCGTGGCCCTGGGCGAAGATGGCAAGATACTGGCCAGCGGCGGTGGCGATTGCACAGCTCGTGTCTGGGATGTGCTGCTCGGGCGGCAGCTGGCGAAGATTCCGCATCCGGAGACAGTGGCCAGCGTGGACTTGAATCGGCAGGCCAATCGCCTGGTGACCGGTTGCCTCGGCCCGGCTCCCCTCGTCACCCTCTTCGACCTGCAATGCTTGGACAAGACGCCGCTGATGGTCTTTGGGGGTCACCACCGTGGCGTGAGGGATCTCACCTTCTGCCTGGACAATCGCTGCGTGCTGACCTCCTCCTACGATCGCACTGTGAAGATGTGGGACTGCCTGAGCGGCGAGAGTGCCCGCTCCATTGTCCTGCCGCATCACGCCAAGGCCTTGGAGCTCCACCATGGCGGTGATATGGTGACCATCGCCTATGGCCGCAGCCTGATCTTTCTGGACTGCAAGCAGTTCGAGGTCCTCAAGCACCGCAAGATGGCCTACAAAGTGACGGCGGTCACACTGCATCCCAGCAGGGAGTCGTACGTGTGCGGCAACAGCCTGGGCTACGTCTACAAGTACGATTACTCCACGGATGCTCTTCTGCTGTCCTACTTCTACGACAATGGCAGCGAGATATCCTTCTTGAAGTTCAGCCCGGACGGCGAGGTGTGCGCCATTGGCACGACTAATGGATCAATCGTTATGTGGCTACAGAACATGGACAAGTGGAACATCTACGGTTCCTCGGACGAGGACTATGAGAAGGAGGAAGAGGAGTCCACCAGTTAAATACTCCAACAGTTACACAACTGTACCCTTCACAACTCTTCAGACTTTTATTCTGGTTCTCATGTTGGTTAACTTTGTTTTTTTGTTCAGTTGCTTCTCGTTCCCCAAAATCGAAATCCGAAAAGGGTCACGTTCCTTTTCCCTCTAATAAATTTGTCTTGTGATTGAAAACCCCCAAATGGTCGAACGATCTACCTGCCTTTTATGGGCTATCTTTTCCAACCTGTTTTGTGGATGATTTTCGAAAGGATTTCGTTTATTTTTCTACGCCGAACGATCGCCGACGCTGATTGCCTCGCTGCTTTATGGCGTTTCTCACCCGATGCAGTCATAAATGCGTTTTTATTATTATTTGAGTTTGGTCGGGGAGTCGGGCAGCCAAAAACCTTATATGTATCCAAAAGTGACTGAGGTTTTCCTCCACTTTTTTGGGGGTAGTTCGGCGTCAGATAGCATATACAAATAGCGAGGCACTACAGAGATACATCTCTGACTGATCTGCTTTCCTGACCTAAGATACCTTGGAATTTGACAACTTCTTGACTCCATGCCTCTGTTTGTTTATCTTTCTTTGGGCTCGCTCTTCTCAAATGGTTTTCCATAAATATTTATAATTTCTTGGCTGATAAAACGAGTTCCTCGCCAACGTATTTTCCGAAACACGTTTTCCACGCGTTTACCAGGAACAGGGAACCTTTTCACACAACTTCCTTGGGTGTTTGTCCACCGAGAGACGACTGTTCCAATAAAATGAGCTGTCATGCTCGTTTTTCTCCTCGGTCAGCACAAGTGCCTTTCGTTGATTGATGATTTTGGATGGAAAGTAGCACAGTAGCCACAGGATCAGCAAAGGATTAGCCTCTACGGTAGCCAGTCCAAATATTTGCATACTTGCCCGACTATTTGCATTCCACTTTGAAGGAAATCCATCAATAGCTCCTCGATCTGACCGCAATTTGTCCGAGTAAAAGATGAAAGATAGGTAAAAGTCATTTATAAATGTCCTGGGCAGAGATTTCGTAATATTAATGATTGGTCATTTGCCAGCGAGAAATGCTTTGTAACACTTGGAGTAGATCGGCTTGCCTGGTTTTTGTGTTTTGATAGGGATCACTGTGATTAAGGTTGCGGTGTGAGATATATAAATGTGAGTGTCTTGATGGTCAGCAGAAGGGTGGATAATAGTATAATTAATGACTGGATCTCCACCTTAAAGATCATTTGTTTTTCAAAATAATGTCTGGAGATTTTAAAACGGTTAATATTCCCTATTTTTTGTTTTAACTGTCCAAGAGATCATTTTCTTACCTCCCCTTTATTAGTTGTTATTTCGAAATGAAACACTCCCACAACAAGTTGGGCTGAACCCTTGAAATATCCTTTTCGTAGCACACCTGCCTAGCAAAATTTCCGAAATTGCGGTCACAGTTCCGTGAGCTGAACAGTTTTTATGGTAATTTTCTTACGGAACCGAGAATATTTGAAAAATATCTTACGGCAATTTCGAGCGTTACTTGGCCGGTTGGTCATGCTCGCTGAACATTAGCACCCCCACTGGAACACGTGGCAAGTTCTTGGTTATATGGCACTATATAGATACCTTTAGAGTGGGATATCTTAACCTCCTCCTGGGGTGAAATGGGCTGGGTTGGTTTCGGACTGGGTTGTTTTTAGGCGATAAGAAGCATTGCATTCGAAATGAGTGTAACGTATATTTTATACAAGACCGAACAGGACTAAACTGCATTGAGGTTTTAATAGATAAGAGATAATGTTTTACAGACCGCGACCTTGGGCCAGGAAAAGATGACAATGTTTGGCTAGGTCTTATCGTCTTAGGGGGGATAGTTAAGAGCATATTAGGGAACAAGCGATAAGATCCGATTCAACCAGCATTAAAGTCTCCAATCAACCGAATACCTTGATTATCATATAATGCCCGCACGTTCCACGGGACAATCCTAAAGGATCTGCCCTTATAAACGGGGCCACTTGAGAACTGCGCTTTCCACCTCTTTTCTACGCCTTTTTTTTTTGTTTCTTTTTCCGCGTGTGTTGACACAACCCATATAAACCACCAGGATATCCTGCTCGGGAGGAAATTACTTAAAGGGATCACGAACTCTTCCCCCTTTCGAAAAACTCCTACTTGAGTTGTTTATGTTTTCAGGCATGACTGCAACAACCGAACGCCAGTAGAATTCTCAAATTTGTTATAAAGTGTGTAAATTCACGTTGCTTTTCTTTCCGATGGGAGGGTGTGTCCCATAAACAGCATTGAAAACCGAACCACAAGGGATCGGATCGAAACGGATCGGATCGTATGGGAGTGTAGAGGAAAGAATTATGGATGATGCTGCCTAATCGAACGGTCGTCAAACGATCTGTGCCTTTTTTGGGGTGATTGCACTCAGTTTTTTTCTTGTTTTTTCCTTTCTCGGGTTTTTGTGTGGAAAGCCAAGAGATTTTCTTATTATTTTGTCGAGTGCAAAGGACAAAGCAAATGATGTCTTTAGACTACAAATCTGACTTCCAAGGTTTTGTTCCTTTTCTTTCTTTTTTATTTAATTGGATTTGTGCAAACAATATAAATCTCGTTTTATTGCTTTCGGTAGTGTAATTTAATTTTTTACGATTTTGCACACGAATGGGGAACAACTTTTGGAAAATGCAGCATGAAATGAGCAGAAAACTTTGGTGCTTAAAAAAGTCAGGCATAACGGAAATTTGAAATACCCATATTGCCATGGGAACTGCATGAGGAAGCTCGAAATTTGTAGACTTGGGCTATCTACTGGACCAGTGCCCCACATTGCAAGCTCGCTTTTCCCCTTGGCAACACGAGGAAAGTGAAAAGAATCGGTGCCCCAAATTGCCCCCTGCCACGCCCCTTCGACAGCTAAAAATCCAGTTTGAAGCCAAACAAACCGAAGCCAAAACACTTTTTTTTTTGTATTTTTATATCTTCCCATCGCAATCGCAACCAAAAGTACAGCTCCACCGATGCAACAACAAACAAAAAGGCAGCGAGCACGCGGATGGAAAGGGAGAGAGAAGGGAGATAGTGATAGAAAGAGAGAGGCAGATACGGAGTGAGAGAGAGAGGTGGAGTTAGGCCGACTTTTTTGATACGCTCTGCAAGGGAACTATTCTTGGATTGCTTGAGTGGTTAAAAAAAAGTTGTATGTTACAGTTAAACTTTAATATATGGGTATCTATTAATAAAAATTTAATACAAATTTTATAAGAGTTAATATAATTACATAAATTAATAAATAAGGATAAGTAAAAAATAAATAAAATTTGGTTATGATTGTATTAATTTAGTTAATAAAATCGTTATTTGAAGGATTAATGAATTCAAATACCTAAGTCAAATTGTAAAGTACATCTTCTCATCTACTTCCTTAATTAAGTTTTTTAAGTTGAGCATATATAAAAATGTTAGTGCTATAATATTAGGTAGCTATTTAAGTTCTATGGAAGAAGTGCATTGCCCCTTCGATATAACTTCGAATAAAAAGCGCATTCAAACTCAACCGCTCTGCTCTCTTTCTCCATCTCTTTCTCTCTCCGATCATTTTGAATTCGAGGGTTGCTGCACAGAGAGCGCGAACCGCTCTGAACTTTTAGCTGGCAACACCGTGTGGTGGTTGTTTGACGTTTGCTTTAGCTCTGTGTTTTATTTATCATTTATTCGTTTCTCCGAGTTCGTCGAAAGAGGTTCACCAGATCGGTAGCGCTTTACCTTTAATATTAATAGTGCGCAGTGCGCCGAGTACCCGAAAAAGTCAACAAACATCGCTGTTACAACGACTGCAAGTTGTATAAATAAACAAAACACTAAATGTGCTGCCACAAGGCATTCATCCAGTTAAAACCCAAAAGAGAGACACAATCCTATCGTTTTGTGAGTGGAATTGCAGTGTAGTGTGTTTAAATCACCGACCGCAAACCGTAATCAAGTGCTATTAAACCAAGGCCTTTGTTTATAATTAATTTATAAACAATTGCAGTGTGAAATTTCACTTTTGAAGGCAGCAAAAAGCTAAAATAGAAGGCTGCCCCACAACACACACACACAGGCACTCTCGCTCTCCCACAGTCACACTCGCACACGAACGTGTGGAGACCGTGATTTGTATTCGTGTGGAGACTGCTCTTCCGCTCTCTTTTGGGGCCCGAAAACAAAGTTTTGGCGCCAAAAGTTTGACAGTTCGCTTTGGCGTGCGATTCGCAAACAAGTGGCGAGAAAACTGCGTCTCAAAACAGAGCAGAAAAACAGTAGAGGATCGAAAAAAAAATAAGATACAGTCAACATGGTCAGTGCCCGAGTTCTGAATCCAGCGATGCTGAGCGAGTTCTGCAAGATGAGCAGTAGTCCAGCGGTTAGTCGCAATCTGCCCTGCGGTCGTCAACTGAATCGCATCAAGCGTGACCTTTTCGGCAGCTCCAAATCCACCGAGGGTGCAGCCAACAAAACGTGAGTTCCGGAACTAGCCCTTGGGTTTTACCCATAACTAATCAAATATTCTTTGCAGACCCTTCAACGCCGAACTGGAGCGCCATCAGGAATTGGCCACGCAAAAGTGGGGCTTCGACTTCCGCGCCGGCTGCCCTTTGACCGAGAAAACATCCTTCATCTGGGAACGAGTCAGTTTCCAGGAGTCCAGCTTCGCCCCGGAGATGTATACCCTCACCAGGGCCGCCCACGTTCGTCCATCTGCCGACAGCAATCCGAGCGACATGGACGTCCTGGTCAACGAGCGCTCCGAGCGCGAGAACTTCGGCTCCAACCTGGCTAACTCCTCGCTGGAGTCCAACACGGACAACGAATCCTGCTACGACTCACAGGAAGAGTCGCTGACGACGCGGTTTACCTCCTCCAACCTGGCCAGCACATCCTCGATAGTCCTGCGCAAGCGACAGCCCAAAATCACAGGTGAGTCCCGCCCGGGGGTTGGTCATATACCATGGATTGGTCAGCGGAGCTTGACGGTTCCCAGGGTCAGGCTTGATTGCACTTCGATAGACGTTATAAATTGGTTTCCCATAGCTTTCCGTTGTTGTCCTGTTTATATTTTGTTTGTTATCGGTTCTCAGGAGGAAGTTGAGGGAGTTCTTTAATTTAATTTTTTAACCAGAACTTAGGGATAGTTTTGAATTGACAGTTACCATAACTTTTCTAGATTTATTTAGGATGTTTTTATGTAGGTACAAAAAAAGCTTTTTTTCGCTTAATTTATTAAACTAATCTGCCAGGGCTAGTACTTCCTAAGAGTTCTAATAAAATTGTCTTAATAGTTTAAGACTTCATTAGAGACTTATGGTTGTAAAATCCTTTGGGTTTGAACCGAAACTTCTTTTATTGCATTATTTTTTACGAAACCATAATATAATGAATGGTCAGACTTAGCTGTCATTTATTTATACTCCCATTACTTTCATTTTAAATAGGGTTGTTCGATTGGTTTCTCGTACTGTTTTCGTACACACCCTCAATATGTATTGTTTATTTTCAATTCCCAGGGAACCGAGACCCTTTAGTAGTGGGCGTATCTCGTGGAACTTAAGCCCAAATTATAGCAATTAGCCAATGCTTTGTGGGAGATTTATTTTCGTCCAAAGGGGTTAGGCACTCCAAAGCTGTTGGCAGCTGTTTCAGCTCTTCATCTCCATAACCAAACGGTTCTGATCTGATCCTCGGCTACGCGGGGGTTGGTTTCCAGATCGATCGCATGCGGGCTGGCTGGCTGGCTGGCTGCATCTATAAATGCCAACAGCTGTGACTCCGCTTTGTCTATGGCCTGACCTCATTACAGAAAACGACAGAGAGAGAGGGGACTGGGGATCGGCTTTCAATGCACCACCATCCAGAGTCCGTGGCCTTATCAAACCGCCCTTTGATTGCTTTGTACTCTGCGTTTTTTGTATTGCCACTCGCATGCATGTGTAATTATAATCGTAAAAAGTGTCTGTTCGGGGCATTATAAATGCACCCGCATCGGGTGGCCAGTTGTGAAGCCTCTGAAGCCCTAAAAGCCCTGACTCACTGTACTTTGAGTGTACTTTTTGCTACTTTGGCCAGCAAGCTAGAGCGCCTAATTTATGCAGCTTATGCACCACCACTTTTGCTTTCACTGGACTACCTGAAAAACTGGCTGTGGACCGATTGTGTCTGGCTGCCGTCTGGCATTTATTTGCTACCCCCGTGTGGATCTGCAACCCTCTGTTAGGGAACTGCTGCCGGCCACGTGCCACAATCTGAAAATCTACCCGAAACCGAAACTGAAATCAAAATGTGCAAAAACAGGCGGCGCCTGCTGTTTAGGGATCAATGACTTGGTGGGAACGGGGACAACCGGAAGTGCAGCAGCTGACTTTGATTTAGCGATCACACGTTAAACACATAATTATAACTCCCATTTTCTCCTCTGTTTGCAGAATTCATGAAGGAGCGCAAGCGTCTGGCTCAGGCTCCCAAGAAACTATCGCCCGCAAAGCGCATGCGCACCAGTTCACCAAGTTCGTCCGCCAATTCCAGCGCAGGATTCGGATTGGGGACGCATTTCGGGGCGATGCTAAAGCGCCCGCGCCACAACTAACGCACCAGACTCGCTGGCCAACCCCCACTGAATTGCAATTTGTAATTTTATATGATTTTTTACAAGCCACTGCGATTGTGTAGTATTTTCCTAATTTTTTATTACGAACCTTTTTATGCAGTGCAAGGGCGACAGTTGCGAATATTAATCGTTAGTCTTCAACTACTCGTAACCAGTAATTAGTTGTAAGCCAGCCAGTAAGCTCGAGCTACATGAAACTTTTTAGATTTCTCTAGTGAGAAATGCCATAAACTAAGTGATTAGTTCTTAACAACCAACAACCAACTATTGAACAAGAAGAGAGAGAGACCGCAAGCTAAATGGAATTAGTCTTAACTATCTTGAAGCCAAACGAAATTTAACCTTTATAACGATGGAATACTAACTTTAAATAACTTTGTGAAATTCTAGCCAATTTCTCCTGCAACTTTTGCATTAGAAAATTTGCCGGGAGAGAACAAAACTCAACTCATCCCTTCTCTGCCCTGACGGTTGTTAACCCCAAAAACTGAAACTCAGGGCAGAGCAGAATTGAATTTTGTCTTGCACTTTAACGGCGCTAAAACGGTGCTGCAATGAGCCGGTTTTTGGTTCATTGCCGCCTTGTTTTTGCGACCAACTAACATTGTCTTTAATTCGACCAGTGGAAAAACAAACAAAAACGAGGAATGCCTTTGAATTATTTTCGTTAATTTCTGCATGTTTGGATGCCATTTATTCGATGGCCGCCAAATGCACACAAATTGTCGAGCTCTCATTTCCTAACCAGTGGTAAAAATGTCTTTTATGATTTGCTATGATCTCTGGGCAAATTATGAAAACACTTTTGCCTAAAACTATTATGTACAAATACTAAATAACTATACTATACACATAGGCAGAGCCTATTCTTCATAACAAAGCATCTATTTGTAAGACCTAACTAAGAACAAAATCCAAAGTATTCTCCTAATATTTATATGTATAGATACTCTATGTATAATTAAATCATACACAACTCATACATCAATAAACAAAAAAGCAAAAAAGCAAAACAAAGCCCAATGTTCTATTTAAAAATTCAAAAAACAAGAAAAAAAGGAAACCCAAAAATCGCTGCATAAAATCATTTACATGTTTGTTTGTTATTGATTGACTCTAATTCCTAACCATTGCTTTGGTTGTAGACGTAGTTTATTTAAATAATTTTGTACATTTTATAAGTTAATATTTGTTTTTTCCGCAATAAATTGTTTTTGATTTTTTTAGTTGGTAGTAATTAAAAGATGATTTTTAATTTTTAGGTTTTGTGGGATATATGTCTAAAGGAAATCCAAATCAACAGAAAGCCATGTTTTTTTGACTTTTATTTAATAATTTAATTTGATTTATTGCTTACATCAAGTACATAAATATTAATTTGTTTCATTCGCATTGTTGCTTTACATAGGTTCCATCTTGGTTGATCTGTATTCTACATATAAATATATATATATATATATATATATATATATATATATATATATATATATATATATATATATATATATATCGGATATATACAGTGGACTCCTTAACTGCAGGCCTACTTCCCCGCCGCCTTCTCCTCCAACTGGGCCTGAATGTGTCGAACGTTGTGTCCACCGCCGTTGGGGTTGTGCCGTTGGAAGAAGGCATTGATGGAGCTCATGGAGCGGTACTCCAGGTTGTCGCTCACATGCCAGTCGACGCTGATGCTCTGGTGACGACCCACGGGATTGCGGATGCGGGTCTCGTTGTACTTCTCCAGCAAATGCAGCAGGCAGTCCTTGGTGGTGTTGGCCGCCTCCTCCAGATTGACGGTCTGGTGGGTATCCGGCAGTCCCACGGGCACATCCCTGCTCATCTGGTTTATCCGGAACTTGGCACGTCGACTGCTGGCTGATTCGCTGCTGGCGCTGTTGGAGATTTGGTTGCTGGCGCTCGAAGAGATTTGATTGCTGGCGCTCGAAGAAATTTGATTGCTTGCGCTGTTGGATATTTGGTTGCTGGAGGAGATTTGGTTGCTGGCGCTCGAAGATATATGATTCCTTGAGCTGGTGGTGGTGCTGCTGCTGGAGATCACCTTGGAGGAGGTGGTGCTGGTTTTTTGTACATGCTGACTGGCTATGCTCCTGGCATTGGAAGTGCTCACCGTTTGCACACGAGACTGCAGCAGCGATTTGCTGGAGGAGCCGTTGCCATTGCTCAACTTTGGTGTCTCCTCGATGGACTGCTGCAGCCTGACGGACAGCGAACTGATCTTGGTCTTGCCCTGGCCATCATCGTAGCTGCTTTGGCTTTGGCTGCTGCTGCTGGCCTGGCTGAGCAGTCCTCCTCTCGGAGTGGGACGATTCCAGCTGCTGCTGGAAGTGCTTTTGCTGGTCGATCTATTGCCTTCCTGGCTGATCTCGGAGGTCTTGCTGGAGGTGCTGCCGGCGGGAGCCACCACGGGAGCCACCACAGGAGCTGGAGGATCCGGCTTACCTCCATTATTGTTGGCATCCCCCAGCTTGGTGTTGATCTCGGCCAGCATGAGCAGGTGATCGGACAGCTTTCGTATCTCGTCCGCCAGATTCACACGCTCCCCGGAGCTGCGCCGCCCCAGCAGGTAGGTGGTGTCCGAGTTCCGGCGATCGAAGGTGTGCAGGTAGCTCTTCATGCTGCGCTGCTGCTGGACGCTGGACTGGCTGCCCGAGAACTCGTCGAAGTTCTCGTTGAACAGGTGCTGCGGCGTGGGCGTGGACGGACTGGAGGTGGCCACCGTCGGGAAGAGCTTCTCCCGCGACTCGTTGATGGGCGTGGCCACTGAGTGGGGACTATCGTTGTCCGCACTGCGGCACTCATCCTCCTCCGGCGGCAGATCCTCATCTTCACCCCGTTCGTCGTCGTCCGTCAAAGTGGAAATGGTTTCGCAGGGCGAGGGCGAACAAACTGGAAGTGGAGCAAAGTCTTATAAGGATTCTCTATAATATAGATTGTGTGTTTTTACATAGAGATTATAAGGTTAAAGGCCAATAATTGCTTACAGACCGGGTTAGTGTACATGAAGTGGTAATTTACACACAGAAATATCATGCTTATGTGTTCGGAGAGTTGTGTAGAATGGCTCTTATGAACATCAAAATGTTTAAATGGGGTTAGAATCTATGAACGATATTCTACCAAAAATAAGCTATATGTTAAGTTGTTTAAAAAAAGTTAAGCAAACATTTTTTGAAAAAAAATTTAGATATTTTACATTTTGTACAGAAATATTGCCGGACTTCCTAAATAAATACTATCCATTTTTTAGTGGATAAAAAGTGTAGAAAAATACTGTCGAAATGAAAAGAATTTTTTTAATTTAATTACCATTTTTTTTGGATTATATAAGAAGATACAAATAAAATGTAAAAAAAACTTCCTAATTTACCTAGTTTTCTAGAACTTTTATATTTTTTTAATATTTATATTCTCCCTGAAGGACAAATCACAAATGAATATGAGACTGACTTTGGAATTTGACTGCGATCTCTGAGAATGATAGGTATTCTGAGCTGGATGTTGGGCTTACCTGGCTGGCAGACCAGAAACTGTGGCTATACGAGTATGTGTGTCGATCTAAACCTGAACTGGGGATTGGGGTAATTCTGGGTAATTGGAGGGGAAATGGATTTGGGAGAGGGCTAGATCGGAATGAAAAGAGTAGTCGGTTTCTCGTCTCGAGGAAACCACCGAGAAGTATCATTGTGCTGGAGCTTGAGTTTTAAATTTTGGATATATTTCTTTTCAGTAGTTGTTTTTTTTGTCAATGGCTGTCATTATCACAGTGTCAAAGTGGTTAATAGGGCTGGTCATCCGCTACAAGGATGCCAGGCACATGGCTTAATGGCTAGGGTTACTTAAACATAAACAACAGTTCTGGCTGGCAAGCTGGTCCTCCCTCGTCCGGAAAAATAAAAGGATTGATTTTATAAGAGGATTGATTTTAACACAGAAACAGAGAAAGAGACAGAAGATAGATACAGAGAGAGAGGGAGCTAGCCAGCTTGGTCCACACATTCAAGTTAAGAACAACAATTAGTTTGACAAGTTAATCGTGTAATATACAAAGTCGATCCGGTGGCGGGATGCAGTTGGAGATGCAGTTGGAGATGCGAGGCGGCCGCCTTATTTGCCGTGGATGAGGGCGTGTCGGTCGCGCTGCCGCTGGGATCCGTACTCACCTCGGGACGAGGAGAGGCTGTCCTGGCCGTGGGTCCTCCGGGGATGCGGGTAGCTCGTCTCGCTCAGCGGAGCAATCACGTTGCCCTCCACGTCGAACACGTACGGACTGTTCGGATGCGTCTCCCAGCGCACGATGAAGTTCTTCAGGTTGTCCTTCGTGTCATCCAGCTCTTTGTTCTGCAAAAGGACAGTGATGCTTACAACTCCAAAGCTGGCATATGTATATATATTCAATTTAAATGTCTTAGAATTTAGTTGCAAATTCCGCAACTCTTGCTTACATTTTTTAAATATAAGAGAAAAAGTAAAGTCTGTTCTCAAGTACAATTTTGAAAAGCATAATAGAATATCATATTATGGTTGAATAAAAGAAAGCTCTGTAATTTGCAAATGTTGACGAAACCTTCCCTTTTAATTCCAAAATATTCCAACAGTCAATTTACAATTTTTAAAATTATGTTTTTAGCATAAGCACAATAATAATAATTCTGATACAAATTTAATTTATTTTATTTTAGCTTGTCATTCTAAACCAAAAATCGGGTCTGAAATTTAAAAGTATTGATACTTAAGAATTAAACCTAAAATGGTTTAAAAGTTTTAATATGTTTTTAAAGAACTGAAAAAATTCAATTTTTAGATTGGCAAGCATCGAATTAGATTTATATGCTGATATTATTAAGTTATTTTTTACAAGCTTTCTTGCTTAGGTACAAACTACCTTGAGCCTAACATCTCTGGGAACATGAGACCTGGTCGGTTGTTTGTTTCCCCGACAGGTCTTCCTCTTTCCCAGTCCCAATTACTCACCTCCAGTTCGGCGGCGCTGCAGAGCTTGGCCAGCTCCTCATCCGGCTGGTCCTCCTCCTGCTTGGCCTGCTCCACCTCCACACCCACCTGCGCCTCCTCGTCGTCGTCCTCGATGGTTTCCGTGGAGTCCTCGGAGGATTCCGAGGGAGCCGTCACCGGAGACACCGACTTCAGGCGCGACTTGGACGCCGCGGAGGCGGCCTTTGTGATGGGCGTGGCTGTGGCGGCGGTGGCCGGCCGCTGCTGAAGCCATTTGTGCTTCATGCACTCGGCGGCTGTCATCCGGGTGCTGGGGAAATGGAGAAGAAAGGGGTTAGCAAGCAGTCTCTAATTAGAGGGTGAACTCGAACACCCACCCCAGGTCCTTTGCCAGCAGCTTGGCTATGAAATCCAGACACTCGGGGGATATGCCATTAAAGCATTCATCCTCGAAATCGTATTTCGCAATGGTTACGTTTGACATTGTTTCAATGTCGTTCTCGCCCATGAAAGGCGACAGTCCTGAGATGCTGTTTCCAACCACAACATATCGCATCATACGGGATTGTGTGTGTGTGGGTTTTGGGCGGCGAAGGTGTGGGCGAGTCAATAAACATGAAATGTAAAAGCAGCGTAAGTAGAATAAATAAAACACACAAAAACCAACACTTAATTAACTAAATTAAATTCGCTCGCACTCCGTTTGGACAAAAAGGATGGGGGAGATCCAGCAACCGCCTTCTTTGATTATCACATTTTTAGATGGTACGCATTTTTAATTGGTTTTCTCCCAAGCACCTACCCTTAAGATATGAGAGTGGCGGGTCTTGATTAAATTTCTAATTGCTCGGAGTACAACATAAATGGTTCGAAAATATTGTGTTGGCTAAAGTCTAGGAAGGGGTAAAATCAACATATTTGGATATACGTTTGTAATTTGAACAAAATGTGTTAAGCTCTTGATAAGGACTTAAGTGTCTAAATTTGTAATTTGATTTATGTTATTTTAATATGAATTTCTGCCAGATGTACGCAATAAGTACCAATACTTGTATAAGATATTTAAAAATTTTGAAAGTCTAAATACATCAAACAAATTTATAATTGTAAATTATAAAGTACCAGATTAAATTTTAAACTTAAAAAACTATTTGAAATGCTGTAGGACCAATAACCAAATACGTGCTTAGCTAGTTCTTAAAACAAAAATTTAACTACAAGCCTTATGTAATTATCTTAAATTGTATATATTTGCTTAACTTACAGCACATAGCATATAACACCGACACTCCACATATCTGTTCCATAGGATATGCAGTCAAAGTTAACCACTTCTGGCGCCACAAACTCTGGGGTGCCGAAGAGAACCTATAAATTATACAATTATTATTATTTTAAAACTACTTTTTTAGGTCAATTTACCCACCCTGAGTCGTTTATCTGGATCAAATTTACGTGCTAGTCCAAAGTCAATGATCTTGATGCGATTGCCCTTCTGCGTGAGTACCAGAATATTTTCGGGCTTCAGATCCAGATGGACTATGCCATTGCCGTGGATAAAAGCCATGGCCTCGCACACCTGGCGTATGAAGACGCGGCAGACTCTTTCGGTCAGGACGAACTCATCGTCTACCACACGATCAAAGAGTTCGCCACCTTCAATGCTGTGAAAGTATAAAAGAAAAAACTTAATTAGAAACAAGAAAAACTTAAATAAAAAAACAGAAAAACATAAACACAAAACAAATCATGCAAACCAAGCACCATAAGCAGAGTTATCGCCTTTCAATTAGTCTTTCCTCCTCGTTAACCATAGTGTTTAGCTTCGTTTTTAGTGACCTTACCTGACCCACTCTAAACTAGTTATGTTATTTACAAGAGTACCGATTGTTCTGCCAGTACACGAAAATCAGATAATCCATGAACATCCATCCAACCGAGTGACGGGCATCAACTAACAGCATGCCGATTGGCATCGGAATCGGAGGGAATTATGTTCAGACACTCGACAAATGTCATCAGAGATTTTCCCCCAAATGTCGACAGCAAAACAGCAAAACACAACACAAAAGCCCTCCCATTCCTCCATCATCGATTGCTCATGAAAAATTCCAAAAAAATATGGGAGAAAAGCCGCAGTGAAATTAGTTTCTCTCTGTATTTTTGGTTTGTTAGTTAGTTGATGCACTTCACTCCGAAATCGAGTAAATTAAAATTGCATGTGGATATTTGTGCATTTCACGTTTGAAATGGAATATTGTTATCCTGCTGATAGAGAACTCTCGACTACTACTAAAATTGTAGCACTATCAGAAATTAATTGGTACTATTATCCGATTTAAATCGATCTATCCAAATCCTCTTCGAATTCATAATGTTAAAATAGAGAAATATAATTCAAATTTCCAACAAATATAAGGAATAAAGTTTTCTATAAACCATTAAAGGTAGGAAAACAGTGTAAAATTGCAAGAAATATACAGCTGATTGATATGATTAATATACGAATCTAAAATAAACTTATTAGTCTCTGTAATGTAAAAGTGTTTATTTTTTCCTTAGAGAAAATCATGACTCTTACATGAAAATAGTCTAAGCTTATCTTAAACTCTGTTTGAAAAAAACAAACAAATTACTTTAAAACTGTTAAATCACTATTTTTTTAAAAAAATCCATTACCTAAATAAGTTATTCGCTAAACGGAATTTCATTAAAAACTGATCAACAAAAAGTTCAAATTGTAAATCCTCTCAATTAAGAGAAACAAACGAAGCTTTTATCCAGAAGAGTACAAAACAATTGCAAAATTGTTTAAATATTTATAGCGAATTGATAAGTATGCCATTTAAACCCAGAGTTTAAGTGCTATCAGTTTGTTTGAGTTTGGCATTTCTGTTTCCTCGATGGAAACTTAATAGTTTAAAGGCAGGATGCTTAAACAATTTTCGTTCATCTCAAGGCAAGAAATTTTCTTCTTGGAAAAATATGTTGGCCGAAGTTGAACATTCTGTTATGAAAATGCCAAGGAGAACTATGCCAGTCAACAATTAACTTTTCTTGGGGGAAAAACGACAAGAGCAACAAGAACAACAAAAGCAGCAAGAACAACAGCCCAAGTTGTCCAAACTGCAGTTTCCTTGTTTTGTTGGAAATTAATTTAAGTTGACAAAGTCTTTTCGGGGCTTTGTCTTTGGGTCTATGAAAATGAAATTGTTTCAGGTTGCTTTTATTTCCCAAACGGGTGGCGAATGTGGGTCAAGGCCGTCGACTAATCAGTGGGCCAAAACACCTGCTTCAATCGTTTTTATGGGCCATTAGACCCTTAACCCATGTCAGCATTCATTTGTGCACAAAGAAGCTGCGAAAATCTTTCGCGAGGCGAATAAAAGTTGCTGTAAATTTGTATAAATGCCTGTGTGTCAAGGGGAAAACCTGTTGCTTAAGGTTTTTCTTTCGCACTTTGTGTGGGTGGGTGTATTGTGCTTGGGTGTGGCAGAAAAGTTTACTAGTTTACGATAATGTGCGTACGTGTAAATCGCATTTTATGCACATTCCCACTGATTGCAAGATATTGTGTCCTTTAGCAACAATGTGGCAAACAACAAAGGGTAGAACAAACTTAACGAATATTGAAATAGAGGGCTACAAATTTATTAGGGTGACCCCAATTTGGTGAGCAATTTTTTTTGTTATCTGTAAAAGCTAACTCAATGTTTATTATTGGTAAAGAAAAATGTTATTAAAATTTGAACGTATCGAAAATTTAACGTTTTTTTTAAATACAAAATTCACACTGAATTCAAAAATTTAATTGTAGTTTTATTATAAACCTTTTATTTTATAAGTAAAAAAAAATCTCCTAAATATATTTCTTTTGTTTATTTAACAGCATTCTAGCTTGGGAAGGTATTTACAGTACCTAAGCTTAAGTTTTGGTCACCAACGCGAAGTCACCCCAACATACATATATGCATACACAAATAGATATATGGAAAAATATAGAGAGGGAATCACACCCACGAGACATGGACAAGCAAAATCAACACATTCATTTGTATGCTTTGGCTTTGGCGCTCTTGACATCTTCCTTACAGTTCCAGGACGACGCACATCATTTTCTGATATTCGTATGCCGCGTACAATTGTATAATGAGGTGATGCTGCAATGAATTCATAATCTCCACCTCCCGCTCCACATTCCGCTTGTCCTCGCGCTTGGGAATCGGCACAAACTTGGCCGCCAGCTGCAGGCCATTCGATTTGTCCCTGCACTTGTAGACCGTCCCGAATTTGCCCCTGCACAGGGATAGATATTGATTACTTATTGATGCCCGGCGGGAGTAAGGGCAGTGCGACGATCAGGGCCGCAGGATACTCACCGACCCACCTCGCCCAGCACATCGTAAAGTTTATGGGCATCGACGTTGCGATTTATGGTCACATCGCGCATGGGAAACGCCGGTTCCAAAACTGAAAAATAGTACGAAATGGCAGCTATATAGTAGGGTCCATAAAACAATTAAGCAGTAATGGGCTTTTAAATTAATTTATCTATAACTATTTCCTTGCTTCCCTTTCTGATTTTTAAAGTTTCCAATTACATATGTATTAAAAATGTAAATAAAATTATAAACTTGTACTATCATAAACCCATTTTGTTTTGTGATTCATAAAATCTTTTTAAATGGAAAGTTACATTCCTTCTTTTCCTTTTACCTTCTTAAAAGTTTCAATTATTAGTATTATTATTATATGTTAAAGTTTTTAACATTTAAAAACACTAGGGGAACAACTATAGCTATAAGAATTCAGGAGCACAGAATATTTTTTAGTGACGCAACGATGCATTTGTATCGATTCTGAATTAAGCTCTTCAAAATTCTTGGCTTCTTTTGCCATTTCATCAGTACGTAATTCGAATGCACTCTGCTTATCAGCATTTATGGCCATAGGTGGTCTATACGATCGGAAATGTTTCGGTCTGATTCAGACCTCAACTGTGTGATTTGATTAGATTTCCTGTTCCTGGTCAGAAATAAAGAACAACAAGTGGGAGTCCGGAGCTACACTGTGCTACATGGTTGAGAGTGTGCTCCTCCGGCAATATGGCATTTCAATCAATTCCATTGTCCGGGGCCCAGTTTGGAGTGCATTTAATATCGGCTATTATGGGCCCCTTTCTTCGGAGGACTGCTCAACAACAGTTTGTGCTTGTCACATATTCTGCAGGACATATTGCACACAAGTTTTGCTGCTGTATTCAAAAGGAAACCCTTTTCAGAATTTGATTCGTTGTGGCTCTCGTTGGTCGTTGTCTGTATGTCTACAAGTTGCCAAACAAATAAAAATGACTTGATTCAATTGAATTTGTACAACGTAACGTTATGAAATGGGGGAACAACAACAGTGACGAGCTGCAATATTGTGACAAATATGTTCTTGTGTGCTTGTGGGCGCTGAGCTTTCCAGGGTCGGCGTTTGGTCACCAGACTGTGGTCGACATTTCATATTTTTTTTCCCATTAAGCACAAGAGTTTCAACTTGACATTTGACCACAACAATCCCCGGAGATTTGGTCGAAGGCATGGAAACGGTTGCGATCGAAAATTTGCAATTGGTTTTATTGATAATCTGGCAAAGGCTCATGGTAGAAGTTGGGTAAGTCAGTAAGTCATTCAGTTTGATGCATTAACCCACTGAATGCGAATGGTGAATATTTATAAGATATTCGCGTACTAACATTAAAACTCATTATTTTCAAAGTCAAAATTAGTAATAATTAATTTCAACTATTTAAAAAAAAATATTTACAATGTACAATGTTTTAAAAACATTCGACTCAAAACAAAACGATCTCGAATTTCTATTCAACTAACAAGAACTACGAAAGCAGCCCTTAAAGTATAAAAATAATAAACAAATTTAAAGAAACACCAGAGTTGAAAATACAACATATTCCTAGCATCTATCAGCTGCACTTAACTGTGGTATTTAAGGGGTTAAGTTGTTAGCAAGCGTCCATGAATTGATGTCATCTGCGTGGCAGCTGTCCCATTAATATGTAAATGGCGCATATAAGTATGCTATGAAAAACACGATAAATCTTTAAAATCAAAGGAGCAAAGGAAAGGACTTTTCCGCGTGGGAAAGGAAGGGGAAAAAGAAGGGGAAGGGGAAGAGAGGGGCAGTGGCACAAACTTGGCAAATTCAAAGTGAAAGTTGAGCGTCTACTGTGAATAGAAATGGAGGCTGAGAGCGTTTTCTTTGCTATTTGTGTGCAGCGAGGCGGTTGTGTATGTGTATATGTACATATATGCATGTATTTTCAGCAATTGCCGAGTCTTGACGCCTCTCTTTTGGCCACGCCCCCTAGGCCATATCTCGCTTAAACGGTTTTTGGCGCAAATTCATGCAGCAACCGAGTGAGTGAGTGCATGTGTGAGTGCATTTGAGTGCACTCTGCCAATAATGCGCACAATTTAAGTTTCGGCAAACACGCCCAAACACTTGCATTAGAGAAGAAAATTGAAGAGGCAACGGGCCCTCCATTGAATGCAATTTTCGGTGAAAAGTTGCCAACTTCTGAACCTCATAACTCATAATTCGAAAGACACAAAAGTGGATTCGAAAAGATATTTCATCGCTCATAAAATTTCAACATAAGCGCAGACAGGCATACATTATGCACAAAAGCTCTCGCATACTGCCTTCAAAACTTAAAAAAAATATGCCTACCACATTTTTTTTTGCTGTTGAATGCTAAATTTTAGACAATAAATATTTTTAAAAATCTATATTTTTAATTAAGTAACTTAAATCTCAAAAAATTTTACGTCATTTAAATTAACCCTCAATTTTTGTTTTAATCCTTTTTGATTGCTAAATTGTCATAAAATAATTTTATTACAAGCCGTCTATATTTTAAACCTGTTATTGTACAATTTCACCTGCGTATTTACTTTTTTTTATGAAAATGATGATGTAATTTAGCTAAAACTAAACGTTTTTTTTGTCTGTGCACTCATATTCATATTTACAAATGAATGTGAGTGGGCGGCAGGTAGCTCCCATTCATTTCCTGGTTCGAACTCATGAATAAATGAATTTATATCGACTCTGCTTGGCATTTGCACTGCACCGCTTATCCGAAGGAAAAATCCCGGGGCCTTGGGATGTAGGAGGTTAAGAGGGGGAGGGGTTATGCCCATATGCTCCGGCGAGACGGTGGGCGTGGCTGCTGTGGGCGGTGGGCTGACGACCCCGGTGCACAAACCAAATGCAATCGAAATTGGACTTGAGCCGTTTGAAGTGTTTTCGTAAATCAATTTCAGTTCCATTAAGCTGCAAGATGTGCATATTATACACGATTTGTTGAAGGGATTACGCGGGAAGTGGGGTAAAAATATTGACGTACAAGTAAACTGATTTGCACATATATGATTCAGCTTTGCTTCGGTTCGTAATTTACTTAAAAACAAAAAAAAACTGAAAGTTTAATTTAATAAGTGTGTCTGGAAAATAAACTATGCAGAGTATTAAAGTTTAGGTATTAATTCAAAACTAATTTAGTTTTATTTCTATACCGAAGAGTCTAAGGCCTTACTTTTAAACCACATAAGTTTTACTTTAATACTTCCGTGGCATTAATTTAATACTCATTTAATTGATAAATTTTTTATCCCCAATAGTTTAAAATGCTTGTAACAATGGTTTAATTTCTATGACAATTATTTTTTGAGTGCAGTTTTTCAATAAAATTGAAAATTTTCGACTGAAATCTATTGAAAATTGAATATATTTTTTAAGACAACATTCGCAAAGATTTATTCTCAGTATATATTATTTTTAGACACAATGATTGACTTGAGTAAAGCTATCTGTTTGATTATTCTAAGGATAATTGATGATAATTGCAATCATTGCTCTATTTGTCTTCCTACTAATAATTATCCAACGGATATTAGTGCTACTCATCCCAAGTGAGTTTATATCTGCTAGCTGTTTAACAGCTTTCGTCTGAAGTTCGAATTCTGTGTCAGACATCACTTATTCAGAGGCACTTTAATCGACGGCTATATCCTTTCCCTGTCTCCATCGCTTTCGCCCACTCAAAGTCAATGTGTGGACTGCGTTCAAAAGTGCAACTCGTTGCAAATTCAATTCAAAAAACTTTATAAAGTTAATTTATGCACAATATCAATAAAAATGGCTGTGCGGGAGTCGCAGATACTATATTTGCACTTCCCATTCAATAGAGTGCCGCCATTGGAGCGCCCGATGCAAATGGTGAACGATTTTTTGTGCCAACGATGGCAATTTTTTCTGATATGAAAATCAGCAAATTTTTCTTTGATTTGCCTTTGCTCCGTCGGTCGTCAAGGATCTGCCAGGATAAGCCACCCGAATCTCCACCACCCACTGCCCTTTTGGGCAACTGTTGCCAGGCTTGCCTTGATTTTCAGATTAAAAAATAAAATCCAAACGGAAGGGAAAAATGTTTTTCCCCCGACTTTTCCGTCCATCGATTTGAGGCTGCAATTTGTTGCTGTCATAAAAATTGTGTAATGTGCTTAATGAAATTTTTTTAATAACACATTATAAGGGTACGTAAATTTAGCTGGGGAAAACGTGTACAACAAATGCAAACTGTTGCACATCAAACGATGGATGTCAATGTGCCACACATTACATGGCCACAAAAAAAAAGTAAGGGAAATGGAAAAAACCACAAGCCAGACGTCGGCATTTTAATATATAAACCAAAGTTACGCAAACACGACGGTCTTGCAGGCGTTTCCCCATTGTTTATATCCGCTTTTAACAACACTTTTTTACGTGGCCACAGCAAGTATGTTCAAGTATGCCAAGCATTTAATGGCAAGGCCAGACGGGAAAATGCATACATATAAGTAATATATATATACATAAATATATACAGAAAGCCAGAACAAAAATCACAGAGAACTATGCTCTTTGTTTGCTATTTGTTAAATCTCTTGCTAAATTCAAAGCCAAGAGGATTTGAGTCTCACTACTATAAACTGGTAAGTAGTTATTTTCCTTCCTTTGCTTTTCGTTGTCAACCAAGCAAATTAGGGAATTTTCAAATTAATTTCTATTAAAATGCAGCTTTAAATATTTGTTTCTCTCATTCTTGACTTTTTCTTAATTTGATAAATTTTACAAGTTGGCATCAAAACAATATTCCTTGTAAAATTATTAGTAAAATTTAAGGCAAATGATATTTTCAGATAAGCACTTGCCTGTTTAAATTATTAAAACATAAAAATTCAAAGCAAAATATTTCCATATAAATCTTTATTAGTTTGCCTTAAGTGTTGGAAAGACAAACTTACAACTTATTATAGAAAATTCTGCCCCAAATTATCCCACAATTTGACCTTCGTCCGAATCATTGCTTCCTTATACATGTAAATTAAAGGCTAGCATAAGTTACCCTTTAAATCGAA